TCAGGTGCATTGGGCTGGGTGTGGATGTTTACTCCTCGCACAATCTTGAATGTCAGTTATGCCGGCGGAGAAGTGGGTGTGGGGCAGGCGGGAAATGCACATGGAATGTACCACAGCAGCGCAAAAAAGGGCAATCCCGAACTCACGAGGCATTGGTGCCGAAGGTGTGGGTGCTCGGTATTCTACCAGGCGCCAAGTGGTAACGGGGGTAATGAAATGTGGGATGTTGCCTTGGGATGTTTGAACGCTGTTGGGAAAGCAGGAGATGGTTGGAGGGATTGGGTCATTACCAAGTTCGGTGAAGGCGAGGCGGAGACCAGAAAGAGGGATGATTGGGATCAGAGGCGGGTGGATGTGTATATTGGGCAGTGGCTCGATGGAGAGATGAGTTATGAGTGTGATGGATTGAATTTCTGGGCTCCGTTTGTTGAAATGGTCAGACGTGGGGTGCGGGAGGTTGGTTGGTAACAAGAACACTATGTTTCTTATATTATGTGTTTCATCGTCGAGCAAGGATGCATCATTATGGTGTGTCTCAGTTTTGTGAGCTCAGTTTTGTGAGCTCACCTCAATTCGAGTGCAATGATTTTATGTAAAGTGAGGAAACTAGAACACAATTGTGCCAGTGCCTGCTCATGATTCGTACACTCAAGTAAATTATATCCCAATGGAGCCCTGCCAGGCTTTACAGCCTTATCCAATCCCGAGATATGACATAAATTCCACTATCTCGATAATGATAGGTAAGATCATAAATTTCCTCCGATTGCTCAAGGCGGCCGCACATGAAGTCACAATGTCTGCAGAAGCAAAAAATACACCAGTGACTCTCGAATTCACGACACATTACATATAAATCGGAACCTTACAAACTTAATATCTGACATTGGAAATTTGAAAAGAGGTACATCACAATCTAATCGCCGTTCCTATCTATTTCTAATTGGAATAAAATCTCCATTTGGGGCTAGATATCCACATATCATAAAAGTTGCATCATAAACCAAACAAAAGCAAGGAATGGTCATCAAGATAAAGGAAGACATCGGTGGGGGTATTGGCGTATGTTTATCAGTTTCCTACGAACATGTAGGGTTTACTCTAATATGGATACCGGAACTACCCACAGCATTCAAATTATTCAAATCCGTTCCCAGCGGGTATGCGCATGTGCATGAAGCCAAGACGGGTTCACACGAAAACTGGTATACTTGTGTCACAACATCATATGTCCAAGTTTCCCGATTACGATGTGGTGCATTGATGGGATATGCACCAGGCTAGGGATATGCAGCCAAATTTGGGGTAAGTGAGGAGAACACAGGGCAGGGGTTTGTGCATCCAGCCGCTAAACCGCCTCTTCTTGGGAGAAAAACCCCAGAAGTCCGAATTACTTCATCACCGATCAGAGCTCTCACGTGGATTGCATTATCTTTGCCATATGTAATATCTTGCCTGGCATTGGCTGAAAATGGACCTCGAATTGGGTTATCGCCATGAGATATGGCTATGTGATGTATCGTAAGTGTTATACAAGGTTAACCTTGATGGCAGTTAAAAGATATGTAAAATGATAGTATGATACAGTTGTATTGAACTTGTGACGAAGTACAGCTAATATATTCGTATGTAGGGACTGGAACACGGCAAATGCTTGTGGAGATCGCACACTTTGAATATCGTCAATTTCCTCGGCTTGTCGAAATCAATATCTGGTTTCTGTAAATGGCTTCAATTTGGCGAAGAGAAAGGATGACGTTCAATTATACAGACAACCCCGTTATAAGCTTACTCTCAAGGCCACGGTTCGCATGCTTATGACCAGAGGCAGTTTTGCAGCAATATGGCATATAGGACCGCCAGACGTATGCTTATAACGAATTTTTGCTTGTATCGGGTATTGTTTTAACGGTCCACACCACAAGACAGTCATCTTGCTGCTGCCAGTGGCTTTGTGATCATTGAAGTCAAAAGTATTGACGTTTCTAAAGCACAGTTCATATGTAAAATGAAAGGTCTCTTGATATCTGAAAAATCGTGTGATATCGGAAAGTTCAATGGACATACGTCCTCTTGCACATACGACCTCCGCATTCCTTAATGTGATGGAAACCTGCACACAATTTGGAATACATATGTGAATTTTGATCACACCCAATGTCCCCCCCTGGCCGCCATTGTGGAGAAATCCGAACATTGTTTCTTATTTAAACCTCAGCGCCCACGACACCTGAATGCCCATGAACGACCAGTACACGCAAACACCTACCTCTACCCTCCCAGCCTGCAACACACCTATCGAAAATGTCTTCTAGGATCCGTATCTCCTTGCAAAAAGTCCAGAGTCTTTATGATACTGGTGAGGATCGGTCGAAGCTAGTCAACCTTATCCGAGCCTTTCGGGGAATTCAAGATCTCCATACCACTGACGAAAGGTCTTTTTGGTGTCTCGCCGGCTATCACGGAGAGCCATTTCGCGGCAAAGGAGCAACGGATCCCACTTGGTGGGGCGGATATTGCAACCATGCGAATGTTCTATTCCCGACCTGGCACAGAGCTTACCTGCTCAGGTTTGAGAATGCCTTGCGCTCGATTCCAGGCTGCGAGGATGTAACTCTGCCATTCTGGGATGAGCTTGTGAACCACGGATCTGGCACTTTGGACTATCTTCCAACAGTTCTTACGTCCCCCACATTCGATCTTGATGGCCGCACCGATAACCCACTTTATTCGTACAAATTGCAGCAAGCCATTGTGGATAACCTTCCGGGTAGCCGATATACCAAGCCTGAGAACTATCGTACTGTGCGCTTCCCCCTTTCTGGTCTGGTCGGAACCGAGGCCGACATTGCCTTTACAGAGTATCATAATTCAACTTTCGCAGATCCTGTACAAAATGCTGCGTATCTGAATGGCAATGTTGGGAACTGGCTCGATGGAACGGTAAACATTGTCCCAGATCCAGCAAAGACACCTACGGCAGATACCTACTCCGTTTACTCCAGGTTCATGAGATGCCTAAGTGCCCCAAACTACACAGTCTTTTCCAATACTACCTCCCAAAAGCAATGGACCAAGGAGAACAAGGAGGTTGTTTTCTCTCTTGAAAGCCCACACAATGGGATACACCTTGCTCTCGGAGGTTTCTACCAAGTGGGGCAATACAATGCCAACCCGATTTTCGGCGCAAACGGCGATATGGGCGCCAATGAAATGGCGGGATTCGACCCAATATTCTTTCTCCATCATGCTTTCATTGACTATGTGTTTTGGATGTGGCAAAAGAAAAACAATCAGATTACCACCGGAAGCCTGACCATCATCCCCGGATATCCCGGCACTGTTCAAGAGGAAGGGATGCCGAATATCGTCCCAGGTACTGTGCTTACAGACACTACCCCTCTTTACCCATTCACGGGCCCAGGTAGAGTTCTCTATACCTCGAGAGATATGACCGATATACGGACCCTTGGGTATAGCTACGGCGTCGGTTCACTTGACTCCGCAATCCTACCCGACTTTTTTGCATACAAAGATCTTTCGCCAATCACCATGATCAAGAGAGTCCATAATATCAACCGCTCAAAAATTGCTGGTTCTTTTGTCATTCGCACTTATGCCACTACTCCCTCCGGCAAGACCGTAGAGGTAGGCCGAGATGCAATCTTGGGACGCTGGAATACCAAGGGCTGCAAGAATTGCCAGAATTTTTTGGACGAGGAATCTCTTGTGCCAATAGACCAAACCACACTTGAATTTCTCCAGGAAGACGGGAAGAGAGAGGACGTGAAATTCTCGGTGGCAGTGGAGACGGGTGACCCTTTCCAGAGATTTTACGAGCCAATCGTGGATGATGAGAAGCCTATTATCGATGATGTGGATCTTTCGACTTGATTTGGGGGAGGGTTTCAAAGGGATATCGATGAACCCCACACTCATATCCCTTATATGTTTTTTTTGTTTTTCATCTTCATTTCTCGCTATTTCTTCTGAGTAACTCCAATATATTCACACATGTTTGTCAGACATGGGCGGGGGAGTATGCATATGCATTATGGACATATCTGCAATGGCTCTGATCTTTCTTATATCATCTCTGCGGGAATTTTTAGTACATAAGACATCAGGTATATATAAGTATCACACGTCAATTGACCATATAATCAATTGTGATATTATAGTCCTCGAACCCGGTTAACTAATAGCTCGATATAAACTCAGCATTGTTCATATTAAATAATCAGTATCACTGCATTCCTAAACTTTGGTGGTAGATGTAAAAAATGATTTCCCACGAAACCAAATTTATTTATACCCGCATCTCTGGGCTTTAGGATGTATGTTCTGCTCCTGTGCACGTGGTTAGAACCTTCGTTTGTTTGGGCTAAATTAAATTAAATTCTCCGTTTGAAACACGTCAGGACATCATTGCTTCGGTGGTCCAACGGTAGGATAATTGCCTTCCAAGCAATTGGCACGGGTTCGACTCCCGTCCGATGCATCCGAATCACTTAGCTCGATTCCCGAATCACTCGCTTTGTGTGGCTTCCTTTTATGTTTCACACTCAACACATTCTTTTTGTTCCCAATCCGATCCCGAACATATGAAAATATTCACAGTAAACTGCATTTTTTTTGGAAAATTTTGAGCGCAAGTATCCTAGGTTTCTCCGTTTCCGTAGTTCGCCCACTGTGATGGTAGGACCATACGGCCAGCTATATATCATTGGAAACTGAACATCTATCCAATTACATATAATCCCCGAGGCCCCTCGTAGCTTTGACATATATATATCCGAATAACCTACGGAAATTGTGCTCTCAACCATTAATTGATGGAAAGGATTCGGTCAATCACTCATAACCCATGCTGATAGCCATCAAACATTTAGAGGTTGTCATGATCTCATGCTGCCGCCTAGTCAGTTTTTACTGGTCACTGTACCGCGAATATCTCTGTTAAAGTGTTAGGCCGGCCATGCATCTCAGTTCACGTGAAATCCGTCATGGTGTAGTGGCTAGCATTTCAGACTCTCAACCAAGACCTCTGAGAACCCGGGTTCAATTCCCGGTGACGGAATTACTTTTTTCCAAATCGGTATTTCATTTTTCATTTTACCTTTTTTGGACTAATTGAGAGGTTTGAACTAGCCTAAGTAGGTAGTGTGACCCCTCTGCCTAGAGTACATCGTTGCATTCTTTTCCCCTTCAACATCTCCTATCGTGAGCAATCACAAATTTTGTTGGTACCTAGGCCTATATGTTAACTGAAAAGAACCGGGAACCCCAATGCTCTTTGCGTGCCTGACAATTGCTCGCTTCCATAAATAAACCTATCAATCTGACGTGAAATCGTCAACTCATATGCATGTATTCAAGTTGATCATGGAGTAAATTGATAACCTGAAGATATACACGAATAGTAGTTGAGTGCTTATTTAATCCACAAGAAAAGAGACTTAGCATAAGACCCAATTCTTTTTTCAAGAAAACAGTATGAGTTCTAACTGCTCATGAGGGCAATGCGGGTAAACGATAAAGGCAATCGCGTATATCGCGATGACCCTTCAAATATAATTGCAAGAAATCATCTCATGCGTTTTCTTCTCCGTTGTCGTAAGCGCCATCTTACTCCGCTCAGCCACTGGGAAAATACTCCAATCAGTGTCTCCGCATACCCAAAATCCAACGACCCAACACTCCATATTTCCCTGCGCAACAACCTTTCCAATTTTTTCAAAAACAGCTTCACCGAATCTCAGACCAAGTCTGTCACATCGGTGCCAAAACACAAGCGTCCCTTTCTCGCTCTGTTTCTTGTACCGAACAGCAAAACATCAGGATCTTTTGATCACCGTTTACCTTTCAATTAAGTAAGGCCTAGTGCAACCCTAGGTTCCCAGTTTTCCTAGGGGCCAGAAATCTTGTGATCCCAATCACACGTGATCGGAGAGATAGTAGCCAGTCGGGGGAATGGTAGCCAGAATGAACCAATGCAACCACTTCATGTGTATTTCTTTATTTTATTTTCATTACCGCGGCGAAGGATATATAAGGGGGCAAAGCGGTCCCACGCCTTAAGCTCGAAATTGCATCTTCGCGGAGAGCGATGCAATCTTTGAGGTCTGGGGAAAATTCGTTGTACTTGTCTTGGAATATGCCAGCTACGTAGTTACCTTTGCCGTGGTCTTTCGGGATATCCCTTCTTGTTATCCGGCTGACTACGGAGCAAAGGCTGGATCCCGCCGTTGGTTCGTGCAGAACAAGCGGAGGGTGAACAATACGACCATCTTCAGGTGCTGTATTAAAACTTGAATGATGGAATGTTTTGACAATACGAATAGCCCAGGGATGCAACTCTAAGCGGCTGATGCGTAACTATTTTAACGTTTCCTTGAATACAACTCGATTTGTGCTTTCTATGTACAAGGAGGACCGGTTATAGACGTTTTGGGTCTTTTAACACACCGTTCGAATCCTTCATATCGATGTATTGAAATGTATCGCCAGTTTTTTTTACCTAATACTTGTTGTTCTTGTCTTCGCCAATAAATCCCAATGTCCGATTCTGGATCGGAAATCGCTACTACCAATGCCGGTATACCCTTCAAGTTCAACTCGGAATTGACGAGTTATGCAGAAAGGATGCACTTGCAACATGAAATTACCCAGTGAAAACGTCGTAATACCGAGTACTATATTGAAGGCTGTACGGCTCGATCCAGATGCCGCTTCCATTTGGCCGTTATATATAGATTGGTCTTAGCCGCTGAGTTGTAAGTATGATTATAAGCATTCCCTCCACATTACCGAGGCTGTGGGCCATATATTACCTTGCTTGAGCAAGAAAAATCACATGATCATGAAGTAAGAAGCTTAATCCAGGAACGATGCTTGACCTACTTATATATAATTCATCTTCCGCAGAGTGCTAAGACCAGGGATGCAAATAGCAATATTAACAAATATAATTCCAGCTCAGTTGCAACGAGTTTCCTGTGGTGGTTGAAAGCAGCGTCCGAATGCTCATCCTCCATATAATGCAGGCCATAAACTTCCATTTATAAAGATGGTGTCATGAATATTATACCAAGTTTGGCAATAGGTTTTGATGTAGTTACTCCAAGTACAAGAAGTAGAGTGGAGTCAGTGTGTCAGCTACTGACTTTGTAAGGATAGATTTGCTAATCGGTTTTGATTCCTCGCGTTCTATTGGATTGGGCAGAGATCGGCTATCACACACATTTGCTTTTCCGGTACAAAAGTTAAACATTATCCGCATACCATACTGATATATGTACATGTATATGGGATAGATTGATATCAACGTAATGACCATCTTATATTGGGTATATAAATTAACAAAATGGTATGGGATATCGCCACAACAGGCATTGTATCTACATGGTAGCACAGCGGAGATGAATTGCGAGAGCCCATGTTTCCGTATGTCTAACAGTAAACATTGCTCTCAACACAGGCACCTAACTCTCATAGATCAAACATTACGGATCGGGATTTTCGGCTGTCTATGTTTTGAATAATTCAGTTGTCCTTTATTGAGTGAGTGAAGTTAAGGGTAACTTAAATAAGGCAATACTATCCGGAGAAAAGGGAATGCTTGCGTAGATCATTTGGATTGTATTAGCCCCCATAGCATACTAGACGTTCATACAAAGATGGTACCAGAATAGTAATTGAAGAAGCAGGAGCGGGAAAGCGACGTTGGATAATTTGAGTGGAGGAAAAGTATATGAATCTGCCATGGAATCTCTCCTTTGCAAAAATATTTCTGGACGGTTTTTTCCAGACAGAATCCATCCGCATTGATTTTTCGCCAGTGACATTCCTCTCAGTAACCAACACCAAATTCCATTATGCGATTTCTTCAAACTCTTCTCGTGGCCGCCATGGCGCTGCCCCTTCCAGCGCTTGCTACTATCAGGATCATGCCTTTTGGTGACAGCATAACAGGAACGCCGGTGAGAAAACACATAACCTCATTAATTCCGAAATAGACCAGCTAACAGTCTCTAGGGTTGTTGGCGAGCACTGATTTGGCAGCAATTGAAGGCCGATGGTTTCACTGACCTCGACTTTGTGGGGAGTCTGCCGTCTCCGGCATGCGGAATCGAGCATGACGGAGACAACGAAGGTCATGCTGGATTCCAAGCAAAAGACATTGCGGACAAAAACCAGCTTGTGGATTGGCTCGCGAAGGGAAAACCCGACATCGTGTTGATGCATCTCGGAACAAACGACATTGTGTGGCAGAGCGCAGCACCGAATGTGATCACGACTGCATTCTCAAAGCTGATAGACCAGATGAGGGCCAGCAACCCAAAAATGAAGATTGTTGTAAGCTTACATATCCAGCCACACGGACCATGAGAAAAGAACAGAACTGAATGTGAAATATTTTAGGTATCGCAAATCATTCCAATGGCGGCTTCCTTCAACGGTGACGCTGCAATCAAGGCTTTGAATGCTGCAATTCCCGCTTGGGCTGAGAGTAAAACGACGGCAGAATCACCAATCGTTGTCGTTGATCAATACACCGGTTTCGTTGCCGACACAGACACAGCTGATGGAGTCCACCCCAACCCTTCTGGGGACAAGAAGATTGCAGCAAGATATTATCCGGCATTGGTAGCGTATCTCAAGGAGTTGATTGATGGCCCTTCGAATGCTACCGTGGCAGCGACACAACCAGCCAGATATCCACCTAGATTGAGATAAAAGTGTCTTGCCTCCCAACTGGTTCCAGTTGATTGTTGTTTTTCGGTATTGATTACCGGAAATAGTCCTGAACCCATACGTTGAGCACTAGGCGGATAGAGATCTCCTTATTCTAATTGAAGTCAGACCGCTCGAATTTATAATTGTAAATAAATGAAAATTACAGAGCTTATATTTTCCAAATACCTAACCCTGGCCTTGATTATCGTTCAGCATGATTCAGAGCCAGTCAAGTACTGTTACTGTACTACTGTTTAAAGGGTTCGTGGAGATTAGTATTCGGTCCTCCGAGGTGAAAAAGGAACAAACCCTTCCTCCAGGCTTCAATATGATTGCTGTGAAAACGCGAGGTACTGGGGTGAAGAAAGGTGAAAGGCGGCCCACCTTCCCCACAAGTCAGCAACTATCGATATATTACCCCCGCCCACTCCAGATGTGTAGATCCCGCCAACTTGGTTAATTCATATATCCAGAATCAATCTACATCATTTTCTTGTGGGGCGAATGGACAACCTGCAGGGACTATCCCTGTATGTTGGTTCCATTACATAGATGTATTTGGCCATTATTACCGGGAAATCTGGCGAGTAAGACCCCCCAGCAAAATCTTGAGACAAGATAATCCTCCATACAACAATGATTTGCATTCACCAAAATCCTTTGCCAAGGTGATGTTTGCTGGGGGGTCTTACTCGCCAGATTTCCCAGTAGTTATAATAATATACTCTACCTAGACATAAATAATATAAGATGGAAGTAGAGATTAGTGAACGCATCAATAGACGAGGAAAACTCGGCACTTATCCTATGTCCTGCACTAGTTATAGTTAGACAACCATGCAGGGGCTAGCTTTACATTTTATTCTCCAATCAACAAAGCCCCCAATTGCAATACATCAAGCGGTGACCTACTATATAGGATATGTAACAAACAACAGCTATAAGAAGCGGAATGCGGTCATTATCCTTTTGTCCGCTCAAGAGGTTGGCTATTGGCCAGATTTATTGTTATAGCCGGTATTGCTGATCGGACAGACCCAGGAAATTTCGCGGGTGCTTGTGATGTCCATGGGCATGGGGAACAAATGTGGGAGTTGGTTGCTTGATCATTATATCATATACCAGGCATGTATCGACCATAGATAGGCATCAGCCGAAACGGAAACGGAAAGTATTCACAGGAAAATTGGGAAGTACTCGTGAGATGCGGGGTATAAGAGGGTCTTGTCGGGTCAAGTGAACATGATCATACTCCCTATCCTCCATTGCTATTACAAAAATGCTTTTTTTTTTTTTTTTTTTTTAGATCTAAATTGAATGTACGTGCACGTGTTTAACTTA